AAGAAAACATACATTAAAACCGTGGGGCGTCGGTCGTAACTAGTCGTAAAGTCTCTGCGGGTAATATTTAAGTATTTTTCTTGTTTGAAGTCTAATAAACAAACACGTTTCATCATGAGACGACAGGTTAGTGAGTCTAGTCCTTTTCATTCTCAACGTCTTAAGTATTTTCGTGTTTTAGGTTAGTATATATGTTTTATTGTCATCGAGAGGTTATAGAAACCCTTTGACATGTAATCCACTTTTAGCAGGAGAGGTGAAACATACTCCTTCACCTACTATTACTCATACTACATTTAACCGATTTACCAGCGCGGACGTCCTGATTTTTGGACACCGCAAAGCGACACTCCTGCTTGCAGTCGATGACCGCCGCGAGACCTGACTCCTACAGGTTCACGGCCGGTGGGGCGGTAGGAGGAAGCTGCGGGTTCCTGAAGGAGGTGTATTTCTTCCACCAGAAAAGTTGAATGTCGACTGTGGACGACCTCTATTAACGACGTTAAAAAGGCAGGGATGGATACCTAGGGCTTCAAAGAGGTAGCGGGAGTTTCTACACCTAAAAATGACGTCTGATTTTTAAGGTTCTATAAGTAGTGGACATTATGACTATACTTTTGCGCGTCACTTGTCGTGTAAAAAGCAAGAAATTTCTGAATTTTATCCGTCAAGGAATTACGCTTGGTTAAATAAGTTGCTGTATAAACAGACTTAAGAAAACGGATGGTAGCTAGGGTCAAGGAGTTAAAGAGGAGTTTTACACCTAAAGAGTTTGTTTTAGAGACTTTAAGAAACTGGACTCGAGGAGGTTGTTGTTGTATGTATACATTTGTATTCTTATACTATACAGTTCTTGTCGTTATACTTTAATTTATTAACATGAATTCTTGCGTTTTAATTGTATGTCAAAGTAGGGAAGCGACACTATGCTGTAAATATGCTTTTTATCATCTATACCAATGCACTAGCAACACAATTATGTTATGCTGGACATTTTGTGTACTCCAGTGAGCGAAAATTAATTTGATAGGAGTGGTAAGATGTGATTGAAAAGTACAGAAGTAAACGAAAAAATTTACGAGAATTACGAGAAAATAAAACAGTTTCGTCGAAACTTACGAAACACAACTTGTCCACGATATATTAGTCCGGGGAACATTAATAACTCACTGGCTCTAGTACATTCACTCGATACATAATTCAATTACTCGTCATGCAATATTTAGTCCAAAATTTTACAAACTGACTATCTGGTAGGTAGCCGTTACAATAATAAAACATAACTTAACAATCTTGGACGAGACTCCTGTGTCTGACCGTTGGTAGATGGCGATAACGGGATGCGTTAGAACCGTATTACGTAGGAGAAAGAGAAACCGACTCTAATTACAAAAACAATCCGTACCAGGAAGGTTCATTTATTGGTGTATAAATTTTTGTATATAATATATATTAATGTTGAACCGAATGGAACGGAAATTCTGAGGAACACAAAGGTGGGGGAGAAAACAACACGAGCACGTCTTCAAGCGTTTCGGTTGCTGAGCCACCTAGCTCGCGCCCAATGCACTTCCTGCCCCGACACTCTTAGGCCGGCTGAGTAGGGGGTCGGAGGACTTCGACGCTCTTCGTAGGCGACCGTCCCGTCCTCGTCTTGTGTCTGCTCCTCCTCAGGTTCCCTTAGCGGTCTTTCGGGTGTGTAAGTTAGAGTCGACACTGGATTCGGAATGGCACCAGGTCGTACTTGTAGTATCTGCCACTGTGTTTTAGTCGCGGTTGTCGCATAAAGACGTGAAAAGGAAGGACAATGGGTCCAGACGCAATCCTGTGGAGGGTAGTGGAACGGCATCGTCAAAATTATCGACATTAATCGGAGACATCAGAAGCACACATTTACCATATGACTCCACTACAGGAGATCTCATAACATGTGTCATCCGAGAAGGTCCGTGAAGGAAGTTCCGGAGCCCACAAACTCCAAATGTAGGTGTTGAGTGGTCTGTACCTCCACGAAAGTCTCCGAAGTGAAAGATCGTACCGGAAGACACCGAGTAAACCGAGGGGGTTTCGAAACGTGTGCCTTCCTCCGTAAATTTGGGGCAGGTGTGGTCCCATAATACTCAATGGCTTTTGTCGTCTGGATGTATTTACGGGCGACGGAAACGTCTCTACAACCCATGCAGATTTTTCGTGGGTATACAAATTATGAGCGTCATATTTTATTCGCAATTTATATATAAACACAGACAACAAAACGTGTAAAGAAGACGTCATTCCGTGTACAAAAGGTGTGTAGATTAGCTTGGGTGAGGCCACACAAGGACAGACTGACGGAAGGAGAACAGAAAGGTCATTCAGACCTCTGCTTGAGAAAGAAGGGTCACATCTTCCTACTCCAAGACGGAGATAGGCCCGGGTAGTATACGGAGCGTCCCGAACTTCCTGATAAGCCAGTCCCCCTCTCCCGGGACAATCAATCGGGTCGAATCTCGGGTCGGAAGGACTTGTTGCATCTCGCTTTTCTCGGGAAGGGGTAAGAGACGCATCTCGTGCTTCAACAACCATATGAAAAACGCGGTGACTAGAGGAGAAGGAGGTCAACCCTCGACTCCAAAAGAGCTTCTGCGGTGCTGGTTCTGATCTACTTGGAGGGGGACTTGACGTAAAGAGGTACACACTTATACTGAATCCTGACTATCCGGTTACGACACATCAAACAAATAGTATAGCCTTATAGTACACGCTCCAAAAGTAAAGTTTTATAAAAAAGGACTTACACTGGCGTACAAAAAGACTCTTATAACACCCGCCGGCGCGAGGAGGACCGTCGTCTATGACTGCCGACAGAGAGGGAGCGGCGATCGGGATGTCCTTTTCGTCTTCGTCTTTCACCATTCCAACCACCGCCATTTTTTTTTGTGAGGGCATTTAAGTATCACGTGCAGTTACATGATTTGGGTACAAGGAAGGGTTGTGACACAATGTAGTTTCAGTGATTAATTAGATTAATAACCGACATAATAGTCATTAGCTCAGTCAGTTTATACTACAAACTGTTTCACGGTAATAGTAAACGGAGTCTCACCGCCAGTGTGTGCAGTCGACATTAAGGACAGTCGGACTGAGGAAATGTCGAAGAGACGACACGTATGAAAATCAGTTTCGATTTACAACGTATAAATAAAACGGACGGACTAAATTTTACACAAACACCGACTGTCTGCCTCGGTGCAGGGGGGCATAGCTGCACCAAGGGAGGTACTCCGGACACCACGACCCCCTGGGAGCGAGTTTCCAATACTCCACTGTTGGTAGGGAATAGCAATCTGTCTTATAGTTTCAGGGGACAGTGACTAAATCGCCCCGGAAGACGTCACGTGGTTTCTAATGACTTCCCTCTACAAGCGAACAGGACTCAGCGGGTTTTTCGAGCGACAACCGCTCGTCAAATTAACACTCACACAGTCGCGGGGGCATTCGTAGGTCTAACCTTCGCTCTCGATTGTTCCTCTTGCTCCTCCAGTCCCCTTTTATACAACTCGTTAACCTTCCTTTTAAAAAGCCGAAAATTGCAACAGAGTAGACGAAGGTTGTTGAAATTTGACCAATTCTTTTCATGCGTCCTTTCTCTGGTTAGAGGAGTCTGACAGCTAATAGTAGCTACTCACTGCGCCTTTTTTTTTCTCGAAATAATAAACAACCCTCTCCAAATCGTTTTTGAGTAAACCTAAATCTACTACCTACCAGAAGTTGTCTCCCCGAGTTGAGTTACTTCGCGGGCGAGGAACTTCCCACCGTTCACGTAACTGTGGAACTTGTACTGTGTCGGTCTAGGTGATCGACTTCTGTTTACTCATTTAACGTTTGTGGTGTATTTTCGTTCTCCTATTGTCTCGGGGTTGTTTCACCGCAGTTACGTTGTCCCGGTAAGAAAAACATTGTAGTAATCATCGTTATAATTGGTAGACGAATATGGGCACTGGTTACTTGTGGAACAAAGGGTTAGGCGTAGGGTAGTAAAATATTATTACTGTCGGGGGAATTATTGAAAAGTCAAGACTGTCATGAAATACGTGTTCTTTACAAGTGTATGTAAGCTTTTGACCACAACTGTATATACCCGTAATTTTCGGACTATAAGGCGCACCTGAATATAAACCGCAGCAGCGGCATGCCACTCTCGGTTCCACTTTTACTTTTGCGCGCTACCTGTCTCACTCTTTTCCGGCCTCCAGCTTTTCCTGCTGGAACCCGCAGCTTAAAGGTGTGGGTCCGCGGACCGGCCATAGAGCCCATAGAGTTAAAGGTGGTGACCGTTAGCTGTAAAAATCCATAGATTAGCCGCACCGTTATATAAGCCGCAGCGTCAAAAAATGGGAAAAAAGGCACGGCTTATAGTCCAAAAATTACGGTAGTATCGTTTTTTGTTTTTTTTTACAAGAAACCGAAAATCGTCTGCTTCTTAAAGCAAATACCAAAATGATAACCAATCATTTTGGTTATATAATAATTATGTAAACCTGATGGTAAGAAAGGCTAAAATGCAGTGAGGAGGGACAGATTATTAATATGTTATAGCAGTTCTGACTCTTGAAATATTTATTTTGAGTGAAGTTTATCTGGATAGTTGTCCTCGTCTGAAAAGCTCCTACACCGGAGACAACATGTTCTGCACTCTAGTAAGCATGCTCTGTCTTTAAGCAATTTGTTTATGTAATATTAGACCATAAAATATCAGGTATAATTTAAGAGTAAAACAGTAAGAGCCAGTATCTCACCGGTGTGCTGGGGTGCTGGGCCTGCACTGAAGTGGGCTGCTGCATCTGACTGGGGGGGTCTGTCTGTGGTTGCAGGGGCGTGAGTGGCTGGGAGGGGTCCGGTGTGCCCATGGCTGAGGGGGGGCCAGGGAGGCTACTGGGCATGTGTGTTGGGGTGGAGGAGGGTCCTCCGGTGGAGGTAGGGGTAGTGGGCTGCGGTGGGGCCTGTGCCTGTGATGAAGCATGGTGCTGCTGCAGCTGATGGGGCTGCAGGCCAGCAGAGGCATTGGGTGGGGGGGTGGGGCCCAGCGAGGCCGGGGCTGCAGGGCTGCGGGGCAGCTTGGAGCCGTTGGGTCCCAGTGCGTTCAGGGGGAGGTTAGGGTTCTGTGGCTGCCGGATCAAAGAGGTTCAAAGTTAGAATACCAATTAACAAATATGTGTTATCAATCGTTTCATCAGTAAAATGTAAAAAAAGTGTAAAAGAAAGGATGGCTTGAATGTCCTGTTTTATATTTGAAAGGCTGAACAATAACTTTAATACAGATTCAACTTTGTATTCATTTTGTTCTCATCCAACAAATAGTTAAGTGGAATATAATGGCAGCTCTAACTCATACAGCAGCCAACATGGCGTTTCTCATGAGGCCCGCTTAGAAGAATGCAATGAGAATATAGCACAGCTCTGGTCTCCTCACCTGTTTGACAGCAGACTGTGTTATGGGCTGGCCGAGGTTAACATTCACATTCATTGCTCCTCCTGTAGCAGCAGTGAACTGGCCCTGCGGCAGGAACTGGCCCTGATTGGCCGGCTGAGAAACTATGTTATTAGCATGACTACCCATCATTCCTTGTGTCTGAGGGATTCTTGAAGGGGACATACCCATCTGTAAAAGAGAAGGGGAGATACAATCATTATGGCAGCTAGTACAGGGCTCGACATTATAAATGGCCCGCTGGCCCGGAAGCACTATTTAGACACCCCGGGCCAGCATAACGTACTTTCCACTTGCCCGCTCGGGCCACTAAAAATATTGCTTTAAAAAAAAAAATGGCCCTGTGGTATTGGTATTTTGACTAGCAATTTAGTTAAATTGTTTCGTTTAGCCATTTTTTTTTTTAAAGCAATATTTTTAGTGGCCCGAGCGGGCAAGTGNTAAAGGGTTTTAGGACGCGTCACTGCACCACTAGAAGCCAACTCCATCGATCAAGCTGGCCGAAACTTTCTCTCTCTCTTCTTCTCATAATCCCTGTCACTCTCCTTTAACTCCTCCGGTGACTTTATTTTATTTTAAGATTGTTTTTTGCCCGGCGCTTGGCCGGTTACCGCTGGTATTAAAAACATTTTGTTGAATGGTTAGGTGGCGCGATAGTCTGGAGTGAAGAAGGAGCGCGCTCACGGGAGCCTGCTCGCGCTGCGCTCCGCAGCAAACAGCTGTTTGCTTTTCACCCAACAACGACAACCGCCTCACGAAACGCTATGTCGTAGCGCTAATAAACTAAACAATTTAACTAAATTGCAAGTCAAAATACCAATACCACAGGACAATTTTTCTTGAAAAGCAATATTTTTAGTGGCCCGAGTGGGCAAGTGGAAAGTAAGATATGCTGGCCCGGGGTGTCTAAATAGTGCTTCCGGGCCAGCGGGCCAATTATAATGTCGAGCCCTAACAAACATGATTTGTTTCTCACTTGCCTCTCAGGGCTTCCAGGCTGTTCAGTATTAAACCCTTACCGACGGTGAGGTGAGTCAAACATCTGACCTCCAGCTGTGGGAGATAGACTTCATAAGACCCATTGTCAGACAGAGATACGTTGGAGATGGTCAGAGTCAGGACTCCTCTGGTCAGGTCTCCATGATTCA